GTAATAGTTTTAAGCATAGCCTTATCGCACAAAATTAGCTACAATATTCACTTAATCAGCCATTAATTTTAGACGATTTTTGGAGGAAACGCAGCATAACTATTGGAACAAATGCGCAACCGTTGTCATTAGCAATAATTTGATTATCTTGAAACTTTACTGCTGCTGGTGCTGAAAGAAAGAAAGACAGAAAGTATTTCAAGATTTAAGTGAGATGACATGCAAGGTAAGAGGGATGGAGAAATTTAGCAACTTTCCAGTGGTTAATTAAAATAGATAAAAATTTTAAATTAATTTAAAATACAAACAGTTCCCTTGCTACCGTACCTGGTACTAAGTAAACATTCTAATTAGAATTACATGTTTTTTATTAATGCTATTTTTAATTCATTTGTTTGACTCAAAAAAAGTATTTGTCGTATTTTCCGAGAAATACTCATCAAAAAATTAGAAAGTCTTAAATTATGCATTGGCAAGGAAGAATCCGAGAGGAAGCTCAATCAACCTACCATCTTTCCATCTATCATCTAATGTTGGAAAATGTCACTGCTACAGTTACCAGCAGAGCTAGAGGCTCACAGTTTAAACAAATAAAACTATGTAAGGAAGAAAAATGGTTCTGGAAACTTGCAGTTTTTAAATTATGCAACTCTGAACATGTCGCATAACCTTTCATATTTATGTAATTATATTCGAACATGAACATGAATAAATTCAAACTGAAGAAAAGTGTTCAAGAAGCTAAGTTCAATTTGTTATTTTCAGAGAGGAACATTCTAATCCATTCATGTCTTAAAGATAAAATGACTTGGAAGAATGTTCTAATACCATACCAAAAACAGTTACTCACATACAAGCAAGCAAACTGAAGACCGAATAACAATAACAGAATGATCTGCAATAAATTGCCAAAGGAGACAACTTTGAAATAGCATAATGAAAGCACTGTTACATCAAATTGAGTTAAATTTTTTAACCAACAGAAAAGTGTCTTCACTCTACAACCATATTGTGTTTGATCTTTTTGTAGACAAAAAATTTCATAATTGATCCATTCTAATTCTGTACTAAAAAGACTAGCTCAATCCAGAGTTTTGATTACTTAATACTATTCTGATAGTGCTGTTTGTGCTTATAAACGATGCTGCTATTCAAAAAACTAAATAACTTACGTTTTACGACTGCTTAATTTACAAATAAAAGACAC